CTGTGAGTGTCATCCAAAGCCGACAAGTGTAATACTTATCATCGGTTGCATTAATCATTAAGGTGACATCTTACGACCACGACGTCTTCAATGAACTTCATGCCGTTCTAAAAAGTAAAAACCACCACCGCAACTTGCCATTGCTTTGAAATTCCTTAAACTCAAAGCGACAAACTCCTTGACTACGACTGCAATTTAATCCTTTCTATCTTTCCCTATCTCCAGGATTAAGGCTATCAACATACCAAAACACTAAAGTCTAAATTGGACGTGTTCTTTCCGACAAGGTCAGCCCCATCCCACTCGTTTTCTGCCATCTTGACCCGGTAGCCGTCTTCGCTGGGAGTCTGGGACCTTTGATCTTTATCAATGTGGCAAAAAAAGTACCAGCTTCCTCAAATAAGTGTAACTCCCTTGACCGTTTAATTAACATCCCTTGTTATAATCCTTAACTTTGCCACTCCAAGGTTATAGATTGGTTCATTGTTTCAATCTTACCCAGACGGAAGAAAATGCGTACTAATCAAGCAATGATAGCGCGCCTCGCCTAATACAAATAAAATTTCAAGTCATTATCAAATACAGTCTTCATCACTATGTTACCACCCCTTCCCTTCTTTTTTTCTATGTTCTCATCTAGTCCTAGAAGACTTAATTCATATAACCTCATTAAAGAGTTTATGCTTGTTTAAAGCCAGGTTGAATTTTGATAAAGGTGAAGTCCTCCTTCACGGGTATCGTTTACGAGGGATTGAAGGTGTAATTAGCCACCCAATCCGTAGCGTCCAATTGTTGACGGATTGGACAAAATTTGAGAGAAAATGATTTGAAAATCAAAATCTCTACAATGTTTGAAGCAAAAACAATCATTCCCAACATTCCCTTTAGATGATGTATATATGATCCTAATGACTTCTAATTGTACTTTAAATGTCTCTTTCTGATTGGCTCTCCATTAAAATACTCATGCACCTGGATTGATATCAACTAAAACCAAATGTTTATTTTGAAAATCCAACATTGATTACCCAAATGTTATTTTTTAAAAACTTAGAAAATTCAATAAAGAAGAACCTATGTTCTTCTAGCTTGTAGTTGGAATTTCGATTTCCTCTTTGATGGTCTTAAAAGAAAAAAGGAAAAATTCTGTTGTTGGTACCACGTGGCAAGCAGGTAGGGTGTAGCAAAAAGCGAAGTGAGACACACACCTGTACTTGGAAAACGTTGTCCCCACAGGCAGACTCTCAATAACCTACGATATTGAACAAAACTGGGGCACGTGTCCGCTGCATTAAAACCACAAATTTCTCGACACGTCACTGGAAGCCAACTAAAACTCCCAACAAAGAGACGACGTGAGCGGATACGAAGTTTTGACCGAGGGCAAGTGGCGATTGCTGGTTGGATGACGAGTGACAGGTGAAAGGTACTTGTCCAAAGGCAACTAGTTTTATTGGTGAAGAGTATTAGTAGTATTTCTTTGATTTTATTTAATTGTTTGTCTTAAATAAAGGGATGGGTTTTCCAAAATTGTTTTTTATTGTGGAGAATCAAAGTTGAGTACGTTGAGATTGGGCTTTTAGACAGCGACTAAACGTACCCACTCATCTGGCTCGAGCTGAGTTAATCAATGGCTCCGCTGAGGACGCGAGCCTTGACAGTTCCTATGAAGAGGAAGACAGAAAAACCAATGAGGTGAAGAAAATTAAGACGGTGTACAATTGGCCAAGAAATGTGGAAAAACGATGATGGTCATGGCAGGTTTCTCCAACGAACAAGGATGCATAGTTGGTTGCAATATATATATATATATATATGTATAATTAAAAGATGGGATTGGATTATAAATGGTGGAACGTGATTCATGTAGCCGACACTTTAGGATTAAAAAGCAAGGCCAGATGACGTTGTGACGACGATGATGCTGACAAGGTAGATTTTAATATTGTAACCACAATGAATTAGAATGCCAAATATCTAAAATGTGAAGTGATGCTAACACATGATTATAATGTAAAAATATACTAAGCCAGCTAGCCACAAGGGCTAAGAAAGAGGGCGGCTAGGACTTGATGCCGACATGAAACCTTATTTCTTTTTATCTCTATTAGCTTAATTTTCCTCTCACCTGAACTTACCCGCAGGTTAATCAAATAAAAAGATTCAGCCGGAAGAGAAAAAAAATAAAAATAAAACTATAAGGAATTATGGAATGGAAAATTGGGTAATGCTAACAAGGCCGAAGAGGAAAAGCACTATACGTTATCACTTATCAGATCCCATAGAGTTGGGATATAAAGCAAAGATAGCAATTAGAAATCCAGTCAGACCCAAAACCAAGACAGATACTTTGGTTGCATACAGGCTTTATAAATACAAGCTCATCCAGAAGGCACAAACGTCTAAAAACCTACCCTTTCTTTCACCAGTCTAGTAGTACTTACCAGGCTGTATATGGACAAAGATTTGCAGTAGGTTAGGAAGAATAATTCTGGCAAAAGATGTTAGATGGGGAAGAATATACTCAGGAGATGGCAGAGCCCTTTTCCAGCATGAATGAAGTTACAACTACCAAAAAGAAGAAGAACAAGAACAAGAGGAGGTTCAGTGATGAGCAAATCAAATCGTTGGAATTGATCTTTGAATCCGAATCGAGGCTTGAGCCTCGGAAGAAGGTGCAGGTGGCTAGAGAGTTGGGGTTGCAGCCACGACAGGTTGCAATATGGTTCCAGAACAAGAGAGCTAGGTGGAAATCAAAGCAGCTTGAAAAAGATTACAGTATCTTACAGGCCAGTTACAACAATCTAGCTTCCAAGTTCGAAAGTCTAAAGAAAGAAAAGCAGGCGTTAGTTATTCAGGTATGTACTAGTTACTTAATTCATTGGTTTGCACAGAAAGAAAGCAATGAACGAGGCTAACAGAGATTTTTTTTTTAAACTCTTAATTAACAGTTGCAGAAGCTGAACGATTTGCTCAAGAAGCCAATAGAGGAAGGCCAGTGTTGCGGACAAGTTACAACAACGAATAGCATTGACGGAGACTCTGAAAAGGGAGAGGCTGTCAAGTCTGATTCTGAAGGGCAGCTCAGTTTATCGATGGAAAGATCGGAACATGCACTAGGAGTCCTGTCGGATGATGATAGTGCCATAAAGACAGACTACTTTGGACTAGAAGAAGAGCCCAGCCTTATAAACATGGTGGAACCAGCTGATGGTTCTTTAACATCTCCGGAAGATTGGCGCAGTTTTGATTCTGTTGGTCTTTTCGATCAGTCCAGTAGTGGTTATCAGTGGTGGGATTTTTGGTCTTGAACAAATGAAATAGCAAAAATTATGGAGGAAAATGTATGCAAATAATCTTCCTTTTGTACACAGCCCACGACGGTTTTGGGCAAAGTAGCAAGTAGGGGATATGGGAGAGGGGAACACTTCAATATATCACTAAATTTAGATGAAGAGAACTAGGTTTTGCGGTCTGAGAAAATATGAATTCAATTCATCCTGTGTCTAAAATCTAACTTCAGCTTCCCTGGTGTGTGCCACTTTCGTCCAGGAAGTAGAAAATTGGAGTTCACTGTTTAGTCTGAAATCATGGGCAGTAGGACTTAGGCAGGCCTTCAAAGTGATCTTATGTATGCTGAAAGGACGGAAATGAAAAATATATGGATGTTTGTGTTGGAATGGGGACTGAGAGACAGAGAAAGATTGAACAAGGAGTTCACTCAAACATGACCTATGGTCATTCAACTAGAACTTTGAAGGATGATATCCAAATCCCTATTTTACCAAATCCAATTTTATTTTTATTTTCTTTGTCTCCTTGTTGTTTTAGTGGTGGTGTGTTGTTTGCACAATTGTTTCATCCTGCAAGAGATTCAATGGGACTGGTCGGGCAATAAGGAAAAAGAATAATCAGTAAAAGATCAGTAGTTTTATTGAACCCAATGAGGATGAGAAGTTGCTTATCCTTATCACCCTACAATCTTCAAATGCAGCTGTCTATGAATTGATGCCATGTTGATAGCAGATAAGCTTCCCCTGTCCTCTCTGAATCTAAAACAGGACATGTAGTATACTTCTTACAAAGAATTAAAAGGGTAAATTCCTCGGTCATTAGAGTATTTTCTTTTTGGATGAACTAATTATTGGCTTCAGACCATTTGAGGCCTAGCTATTAAGTTGTAAAAATCACAGTTCTTCAATGTAAATGATAAAAGGTCCAAAATGCAACAGTCTGTGAAATCAACAGCTATAGCGGAAGTTGAAGTGATCAAAATCTCCTCACCTAATACGTGAAAATCCAGATTTTTTTTCTGATGTCTTTGTCGGAGTATTATCTAAATTTGCTTCTAGATTTTAAGCCTAAAAGGATTATCCAAGAACGGTCCAGACAAATGTAGACCTTAAAGCACCTGAAGAAACAAAATGGGAAAACAACCAGTATCTCCATGTACATCCAATTTATGTTCTAGTATTAAGTATTACACTAGAATATTCAGCATTCCAGTCGAAGGTAGTTTTCAAACAACCCGAAACAATCACTGGAAGGGAGCTTGCTTGGACAAAGGACACTTCACGCTTGCATCAAATGTCAAGTTGTGAAGTTTTGCTTCTCCTTTCCAATTAACTAGAACAACAAGCTTTGTCATTTAACTACTTGACTGGATATGATCAACAGCACAAGCAAATGGCTTCCCAAATCTTAACCTTCACAATTCCCTTTTTTCCTTTTTGTCTGAAACCGCCTTTAGAGTTCTGTAAATATTGGAATTCCACACTTTAAAACATAATTACAAAGAAAAACATATCTGTTCTCTTGTTTTATACCAGCCTCTAGACTATTTTAGGCATTAAGCCTCACTTACAACCTTAAATCGCTTAGTTCATGCGTGAATTTAGTGAAAGAAATGTTCTTGGTAAAAGATCACACAAAAGCACAGCTTAATACCATACCATAAAGCAGACCATGGTAAATAAGGAAATCAAATAACAATTTTACTTGAACAAAGATCAGGCAAAGTATGACCATGCTGTACAAATTGCAGCGGGAGAAGCTATCATTTTGTCAGAATGCCCAGTCAAGCTCCTCTATGAGATTCGTCCAGATGTTCTATGCGAAAACAAGGTTCAGGACTCCGCTGTGTTGACAGTCAAAGGTATTTTAAATGAAGAAATGAAGGCGAGCACAGGATATATAAAAATGTAAATTTTAATCCACGACATTGAAAGTCTAACCAAAAACATGATTACTTAATGACTTGTAAAGGGCAAAAGATAAACCTTCAATGTCAAGTTACTATATGTTCGATAGAGTTTTAACTGCACTAAAAGATCATGCCTCCTATCAGTATCAAGGGTCTAAGCTTTCTTCATAGTGGAAAGTTTTCAGGACCCCTTACCATTGGAATTGACCAAACATCATATGGTTGAGACATCATTCAAATAAAACAAACACCAGATAAAGATAATGTTAAGACTTAAAGCATGCATTGACTATAATTTTTTGTTTATTACGTATTTTGCTTCATTGTACTGGTTATTTAGAGTGTAATAACAGTGCTTATGAGGTGTCTTTGTGCATGATTTGATTAATAGCACTTACCCCTTTATGTTAACAGTTGTTAACCTTGCATAAATATTTTTGGTTCTTGTTGAATTAGAAGCATCGTTTATATCAAAAGTTTCCTCTCTTTTGTTCTCTATTTTTTCTTCTCCCTTTTGGAGCAGTATATGATATCTTCTACTCTATTATGGTTGTATCTTCTTTTCCCCAATTTCATTACATGGTATCAAATCGATATAACTAATCTTTGAGCCACTTATAACCTTCTTTCCCACATATCCATTGTTCACTCTTCATCAAGATGTCAACTTCAACTGTTACTCAGCAAAATGCACCTATTTTTTATGGCTCTAACTACCCTGTTTGGGTTGTCAAAGTGAAATCATTCTTGAAAGGTGTCAACCTTTGAAATGCTATTGAGAATGATCTTGAAATACCAGCATTGAGAGAAAATGCTACGTTAACACAAGTGAAGCAATATGAGGAGGATGTAGCAAAGAAATACAGAGTTTTATCCTTCATACAATCAGCCATTATAGAGTTAATTTTTAGAAGGATTATAAGGTATGAAATAGCTAAGCAGGTTTGGAGCAAACTTGAAAAAGAGTTCATGGGGTCTATTAAAAGCAAGCAGATGCATCTATAGAACCTTAGGAGACAATATGAAATGCTAAGAATGAAAGAAAGTCAGACTGTGCAAGAATTCATTGATAGGGTGATGAAGCTGGTGAATCAAATTCGATTGATGGGAGAGTCTTTAATAGATGCAAAGGTTGTGGAGAAAGTATTCATTAGCTTACTAGAGAGGTTTGATGCTGTAGTTTCTTCTCTAGAACAAGTGAAAGATATTTCAGAGCTCTCAATTACTGATTTAGTGAGTGCTCTTGAGGCTGATGAGTAAAGGAAAACTACCAGAAAGATTAAGAAAGCTGATTTAGCTTTTTCTGTTCGAATGAAAAGAAATGCTCTTGTTGATACTTCAGCAAAGAAGAATTTGAGTGATGCAAAAGATTAGCAATAAGGTAGCTCACAAGAAAGAAAAGTACAAAATAGAAGAACCAAATTTCCAGTTTATCCCCGTTGCAAGAAGAGGAGTTACTCTAAGTCATATTGCTGGTACAGGCTTGGTGTAAGATGCAATGCATGCAAGTAGTTTGGACATGTGGAAAAAGTTTGTACGAACAAACGTGAAGCAAAAAAAGAGGTTTCTCGTGCTATTGAAAATGTTGAAGTTTCAGAGGAACAACTATTTATAGCTACTGGAAGCAATTCTTCAAATGATGTGCAATGGCTTCTCAATAGTGGCAGTTCTAATCATGTGACACCTAATCCCTCTTTGTTTACAGATCTAGACACTTATTACAGATCAAGAGTTAAAATAAGGAATGGTGCTTATTTGAATGCTGCAAGGAAAGGTACAGTTGGAATTAACACTTGTTCAAGCCAGAGGTATGTTCATGGTGTACTTTTAATACTTGATATAGCACAAAATCTACTGAGTGTAGGTCAAATGATGGAGAATAATTATATGCTTATTTCAAAGAATAATACATGCACCATATATGACCCTTTTGGTGAATTGTTAATGAATGTACCAATGAAAAATAGGTGTTTTCATGTCAACCTAATTGAAGTATGTATGTAAACTAGTAGTAGCAACATTGATGCATCATCACTTTGGCACAGAAGACTAGGTCATTGTAGTTATAATTATATGAATTTACACTCTTAGAATTTAGTAGAGAAACTACCAAAAATTAGTCAATTAACATTAATTTGGTTCATTCTAATGTAGCTGGACCTATGACTCAAGAATCCTTATTTAGAAATAGATTTTTTATAATCTTTATTGATGACTATAGTAGATTCACATGGATTTATTTTCTTAAGTCTATGTCAGAGGCTTTTGGGATGTTTGTTCAATTCAAGGCTAAATTTGGAAGAGAATCTAGTTTAAAGCTGAAGTGCTTGAAGTTAGACAATGGTAGGGAGTATACTTCAACAGAGTTTGAAAATTTCCTTGAAGCTGAAGGTATTCACCATCAGCTCACAATTCCTTACTCACCTCAACAGAATGGAGTAAGTGAAAAGAAAAACAAATCTATACTTGTCATGGCAAGATGTCTTTTGTTTGAAAAAGTTCTTCCAAAGAAATTTTGGGTAGAAGCATGAAATACTATAGTTTATCTGCTAAATAGATTACCAGCAAAGGCTTTGTCCGGAATGACTTTTTATGACTCTTGGTATAGCAAAAAGCCTTCAGTTGATCATCTCAGGATCTTTGGAAGCCTTTGCTATCATTAAATTCCTAAGAATTAGAGAGACAAGCTTGATCATGGGTTAGTAACAGGATTTTTATTGGATATAGTGAGCAGTCAAAAGGATATAGAGTTTATCTCGTAAGGTCAAAAAAAGTCATTGTGTCTAGAAATGTTATTTTTGATGAAGACTTTAAGTGGAGTTGGAATGAAAGTGAATCAGAAAAAGGAGAATCTCCATTCAAAATTGAGCTTTAAGAATATGTTGAAACTATAGCAGATATAGCAGATTAGAATGTTGATATTGATGATGATGAGCACTATGTAGTCAGAGGTACAAAGAGTCTTGATGATATTTATCACAAAAGCTTGATGGTTATAACTGAACCAGATAGTTATCAAGCAGCGGCAAAATCTGAATAATAGAGGGCTGTAATGCAGGAAGAAATTAATATGATTAATGAAAATAATACTTGGTCATTAGTTGATAGACCTGAGAATCATCATGTAATTGAAGTTAAATAGATTTTTAGAAAGAAGTTTAACTCTGATGGTACATTGAACAAATATAAGGCAAGACTTTTTGCCAAAAGGTACTCACAGTTACTAGGTATTAATTTTCTACATATCGTTGCTCCTGTGGCCACAAATGAAACCATTCGATTGGTGCTAACTCTATCAGTTGCATTTGGGTGGAAAGTATATCAATTTGATGTGAAATCAGTCTTTTTCAATGGTAAATTGCAAGAGGAAGTTTATGTTGAGCAACCTGAAAGGTTCAAGATTGAATCTAATTTTGATAAAGTCATAAGACTTTGTATGGCCTGAGACAAGCTCCTCGCAGTTGGAATAGTAAGATTGATTCTTATTTGGTGAATGTAGGATTTGAAAAAAATTTCAATGAAGCTACTCTATATGTGCTTAAGCATGAGAATTAAGTTTAAGTAATAATCTTTCTATATGTTGATGATTTGTTTCTCACTGGTTATGACACAACAACAATTAACAGATTTAAATTTGAGATGGAAAAGAAATTCAAAATCTCAAACCTAGGCTTGATGAATTATTTTCTGGGAATGCAAATATGCCAAACTAACAAGGGCATTTTTGTGTCTCAAGGAAATTACATCAGAAACATTTTGAGTAAGCTTCATGTGAGTGGTTGTAATTCTGTATAGACACCACTAGTTGTGAATCAAAAGCTGATTGCAAATGATGGTTTTAGGTTCAAAGATGTTACCAGTTATAGAAGTCTTATTAGAAGCTTTCTTTACATTTGCTTTACTCGACTTGAGTTTACGTACTCTATAAGTTTGCTATTCAGATTTATGAAAGAGCCTTCTGATGTTCACTTTGCAGCTACCAAACGTATTCTCAGATACTTAAAGGGCAGCATTCATCATGGTTTGTATTTTAAAAAAATGAAAGAGATCAGCTTGGGCATGGAGTGTTGAAAACTCCAAAAATATATCTGGATATATTTTCTCTTTAGGTAATGGAGTTTTTTTTTTTTTTGAAATTCACATAATCAAGCTGTGGTTGCACAGTCAACTACAGAAGCAAAGTACATATCTGCCAATGCTACAACAAACCAGGCTGTTTGGTTAGTAAAAGTTTTAAAGGACTTAACCTTTATGCAAATGATTCCAACGAGTATCTTGTTTAACAACAAGTCTGCAATTGCCATCCCCAAAAATCTAGTGTTTCATGGCAAGGCTAAGCACATAAAGGTAAAGTTCCATGTTATCAGGAAAGCTGAAAAAAGTGGTGAGATTATTCTTGAATACTGTTTTTCATTGAATCGGCTAGCGGATATTATGACCAAGACTCTGCCTATGTCCAAGTTTGAAGATTTGAGAGCCAAATTGTGTGTTGTTGATGCAGGCTTTAAGGAGTGCTACAGTTAAAGCATGCATTGACTATAATCTTTTGTTTATTATGTATTTTGCTTAATTGTATTAGTTATTGAGAGTGTAATACCAGTGCTTATGAGTAGAACCGACTTTAGCATAAAGCCAGTAAAGCCCTTGCTTTAGGCCTCATAATTTTATAGGCTTCATAATTAATTATATTAAATATATATAAAAATTAAAGTAATTAATAAAATATTTTTTGAATTAAGTGTCTATTAAATATTTAATTTCTTTCACTTCCTACTTTTTATTAATTCTCAACTATTTATCTCACTTTCTCACTTATGTGAAAGTCAAAATAATTAATAAAATCACATATTCTCTCATTTTTTTAATTTTATACTTAATAAAATTTTATTTTTTATCACTCTCCAATTCTCAATTATTTTTTTTATTTTCAATGAAAGTAATATGCTTTCAATGATCTTCAACTAAAGGTTATTTTTTTTTTAATTTCAATACAAAAAGCTTCATTTAATTTTTCTTCTCAATAAGGACTCCATTTAAATATTTAATCGTTTTAGGCCTTTCAAAGTATTAAGCCACCTCTGCTTATGAGGTGTCTTTGTGCATTGTTTGGTCAATTACATTTGTCCCTTTATATTAACAGGTGTTAACCTTGTATAGCTTGTATAAATATTTTTGATTCTTGTTGAATTAGAAGAATCGTTTATATCAAAAGTTTTCCTCTCTTTTGTTCTCTGTTTTGTTTTTCGCCCTTTTAAAGCAGTATATGATATCTCCTGCTCTGTTATGGTTTTATCCTTTTTTTCTCAGTTTCATTACAGATAAACCTTTCTTTTCTTCCTTTCTTTCACTTGAGTTATGTTGGTGACCAAAACAAAGAGTGAAGAAATGGAAACTCTATGTTTGAGATTCCGTGTATCTAAGAGTGAAATTGATAGCAAAAGATATAGAGCGCTACTCTATTATGTAATTGGTTGCTGAAAGAGAAAATGAACGGAGAACATAATTTTTTATTTTCTTATCGATGGTGTAAGTTGAAGGTGGCAATGAATGAATCAGAGGAATTTAGACCAGACCTGGGATTCTTTTTGTTATGTCTTGGATGATGGAGACCATACATTCTGAGTTCAGGGAGGAATCCTTGGGGGTCTGTACCTGTTTTCACCATTAGCATTACCTTGTTTAGTGCTCAGAACAATAGAGTTTTTCCATATCTTTATTATTAAATAAAAAACTCAAATTCAGACATATACAATACCAGAATCCGGGGGTGCTTGGTTCTTGCAATAAGGTCGTAACCAATATCACTAATTTCCTTTGGGCTGGGCCCGAGTTTTTAAAAGAGTTTTAAGACCATGGCCCAACTTAACTCGGAACAGAACGCTGCACCTTTCGCCTGTCTATTTCTCCACCGAAAAGCCCTCCCAAATATGCATTTTGGAGTTTCAACTCACTCAGCCCCACGGTGTCTTCCTCCTCTTGAGGAAACAAAGGGAAAGAAAAAGAGTGATGAACGACCTCTCCAATGCAGCTGTAAGAGAGCAGCAAAGTAGCTACAGTTGCAAACCCATACCAAGCTTAGCTCTTTACATTCTCGTACCTCTTTTCTTCATTGGTCTGTCTGTCTCCACCTTCATTCTTGTCGTGGTCCACAACGCTGCTTTTCTTCTCTCTTTCCTCTTTCTCTCTGCTTTGGTTGCTTCTTTCTTGGCTTGGAATGCTGTTAACTGGAGGCATCATAACAAAGCTGCTTTTGGTTTTTTCCTGAACTCTTTCCCTGATTCTGATCTTCGACTTGCACGTCAAGGACAGCTTGTTAAGATCACTGGGGTACTTTCATACACCCTTTCCAAAGTTTACTTTTTTTACTGTCTTTTGTTTGTTATAATTTGTGGGTTTCTTGTAATTTTTCCTGGGATCCATTTGTTTATGACATTTTGTGGAGCATTGAGCACTTGGGTTGTGGAGAAACAGAGTGAAAATGTGACTTCTTTGTGTTGTATAAAGCTGAGGCTTTTGGTGATTTAATCAGTTTTTTATTTTAAAAAAAAATTTCTCATCTTATGATAAATATGGATCGTAACGTTTATAAATTTAATTGGTTGATGACTACTGAGAGTAGTGTTCAATAATTAATTCTTTTCTTTTTCATCTAAATGTACAGCTGGCGCAAATTTTCTTCTTTTTACTAGGATAATCTCCTTTTTCCCTTTGAATAGTGTGATAATTGGACCTTCATGAAAATGTACTGATATGCCTGATGCTGTTAAGAGTTGAAAATGTATAAATGATTATGCTCTTTTTATATCAATCCACCTGCCTGTGACTAATCACCGACTCCTATATGTTCAATAAATATTTACTATTGCTTTTTCATGCCTTCTTTTTTTTTTCTTACTTTTTTCTCTTTCATTGTCGATAATTTCAGGTAGCATCATGTGGAAGTCAGTCTCTGGAAACTTCATATGAAAGAGTTGCCAGATGTATCTATGCATCCACTCTTTTGTATGAATATGGACAGTTTGGTCTGAAGCCGGTTAACGTTAATAGATCTTGCTTTCAGTGGAACCTAGCATACTGTGAGGTATGTAAGTCATATCACTAAAGGACTGACTTCTGCCACATTCTTCTTATTGAATTGACTTGAGGTTGAAACTGATGCCATTTTGTTTCACCGGTTAATTGTGCTAGATTTTGTTTTTGATAGTGGTGATGACATTTAATCAGCGTTCCCTGCTTGTGTGTCACTACAAAGTTTAGAAATTAGTAATACCCATTTAAGCATAATGCTTTAAAGTCAATTCCTGCCAACCTCCATAAGCTTCATCACTCCATTTTGACGTTGGGTTCTAATGACAATGATATCTTCTGTTAAATATTTGTAACTATATTCATCACTGCGTCATCTGCTTTTCTATATATTTCCTCTCATTATCACAACTGCCTAATGAACTTCAGTGGGACAAAGTCTCTTCATTTTTCCAGGCTCACTTTTGGTTCCCATTAATACCACTGCATATTCCCAGAGATCATCTATTCAATGCACTTGATTTTCTTGCTACTATCCTTTCTACATCCTTGGTCCAATTGTCCTGATTCTATGTTGTTTTCATCTGCTCCCAGTCTTGAATCATACAATGCAGCTAAATTTTGAAGACTAACAGCTCTGCTTTTTATTACTCTGGAACTTGTCGATTAACTAGAGTATATTTTAAGCTCGCCTAGTTTTAATTGACATCAGATAACCCCACAATTATAGGTAATAGCTAAATGTGTGCTATAGGTGTCATGTATTTGGTGCCTAAATATTTTTCCAAATCTACATGTCTACAAAGGGGGAGTCCATAGGCTTGAGGCCAGATTGCCATTGATTTGTATCGTATTCATTTCTCTATCACGCCTATTCTCTAAATATCTGGCAGAATAATGAGGTGGGAAAACTTGATCAACCCAACTTCACCTGCATCTCCCATAACATCTGTTCTTTCGGAATTTTATTCTTGATTATAATAATTAGTATAAAGCGGCTTGCTTGTTCACATTCAATATTCACTGACCTCTTTCCCTAACATGTTCTTACTCACTCTTTGTCTCTGCTGTTCAAGCCTATTAAACATGTCTTGCAATTCATTTACCTTCTAGAAATAAGGATCTAGTATTGGTATTCCTAAAATTTATCATTTTGTGATTTCCTATTGTCCTGATTCGTAATTGCTAGATATGGTAGGTGCTGCTATCTAGTAGTTCTTTCTATTATACCACCTAATTAATTCCTCACTCTGTCAAAATTGTGGGGAATCACTTCCTGTCACATGATCAATGTAAAATCTGTTGCAATGATGTTGTTCATTCTGTCTTTAGCACTCAAAAATTTCCAAAGGTTCTGAAATTCTTTATATTGCCTGAGACATCTAATTCAGAATTTTGGAATAAACATGAGTGAACCCTAATTTTGATTAATGGATGTGAAAAATGGCTAACCACTTTTTGGTTTATGATGATATGTTATATTCCAATTTTATACATGATAAAATTTACATCTGAATTTAAGCCTGCCAAACTTACAGGTTATTGTTTCAAACCCCTCCATATTTTCTGTCTTTTAAGTTTCTATGAGTTTGAATCTAGAAAATATGCTATTTATGGAAATAGAAGTTTTTTCTTTATTTTGCTTGACTTTTTTGCATGACAGAGGTTTTCTACAGACTTCTATATAACTGATCAGAAGTCTGGTGTCAGAGCTGTTGTAAAAGCTGGTTCTGGTTGTGAAGTTATCCCCTTGATCATTGAGAGCAAACTTGTCAATACTACAAGACAATGCAGAACTCTATCTCCTCACTTGAGCAATTGGTTAAGAGAGAAAAACCTTTCTGCAGAAGCCCGTCTACTACGCCTGGAAGAAGGGTAACTTTGCTTATACGACCAGGAGCTTAAATTTCTAGCTACTTTGGCCCATGCTTACTTTAACACTTACAAACTGCAGATTTGAATGAGTTTTGGCAGGTATTTACAGGAAGGCAGCACTGTCACTGTAATAGGAATGTTGCACAAAAGTAATGATACTCTAATGATTGTTCAGCCACCAGAGATCATCTCTACAGGATGCTTATGGCGAAGGTTGCTTCTTCCAGTTGATGTTGATGGGCTGATCCTGGGGATACCAGATACTAAACCTACACTTGACCTGACTTGCATTCAACACCGAGAACATTAGCATCTGACATATTTGTAAGAATATATTTACGTTAAGCCTAGGAGATCTTGGATGATGAAGCTAATTTCTTGTGAAAATGTTTCTTTCAATTGTAACATAAACTGTCTGGTAAAAAGGTCCTAATTCCATCCTATTTTATATAATTCAACCACTTGCAGCTACATTTTCTTTTGCCACAAGGCAATATAGGGTGAATTACTAGGGTCCTTGCCCTTATGCAACCAAGAAATTTTGTTAATAAAAACAGAAAATGGCCTTCGATATGACATTTTCACACTGTCTTTCAGCATCCGCTTGATCCAGTCTACTACACTATTTTCCTACTGGTGCTTAACAGGCCTCATGATGTGTTTCTTGTTCAACGTCGTCCAGGGCATAGTGGGCCTGGATCCAACTTTTGGTTAGGTTTAGACCGTGGCGTGGCCATTTTAATTTCTTCATGGATCCGTCCGTCAACCTGTGGACGTCAAAATTAGGACATTTTAAAACCCAAGTTTGAACCCGTTAAACCCTCGGGCCCAAGAAAAATCCCTAGCAAAACCCTTTAAGCTCCTTGTAATGTGCTATTCTTAGAAGTATTATTACCCTTTAAGCTCCTTTATTATCGAATATTATTAAAAAAATATTTCAACTTTCACGGCACTTCATATTAATTTTTTTGTAATCAATATTAAAAACCATTAAGGAATAGGAATTTTAAAAAATTAATTGTAATATAGTAGAAGCCTTTGAAGTCAATATTTCTTTTCTTTAAGATTCATGAAAGTAGAACATAAACGTGGATAGTAATTTCAAATGCTTTTACAATCTATTTAAAAACTAATCTAAGCCACAAAAAGAAGAGAATACTATTAATTGTATTACCTAATCTACATTTATTTCGTCTATGGATAAACGACGGCTTGACAAGCATAGATGACTAACAACTACCATTTTTTATAATCTTCACCACCCTATGTTCATAAGTCAACTAGGTAATTTTAAACCTTAGCTTAATAAATCAAAATATTTATAAAATAAGTAGTATATATTTAATTTTCACAATATATTTTTGAACTACACAAGTCGGGAAAAAAAGGAGTTTTTCATTTAACTTTACTATTTAATTTTATAATTTTTTATATTTTTAATGTTATATTTTAACAGAGATGATTTTTTTTTTATTCCTTTAATCTTAATCAAGTTGATTCTAAAATTGGATCCCGAAAATTTTAAATTAAATAAATGTTAAATATTAAACGTCAAACATGTGCCAGAGGAAAAAATCGACAGGAGAGGAAGAATCTAGAGAGACGGTAGAGGGGACCTTTAAGATGTACGTACGTAAATGGGACTGTGAAGCACGTGTCTAGTGTCGGAACTGTCAGCACTTGCCAACTCTTTAGCTTTAGTTTTGTTAGAAGATAACTTCTCTCTGAGACGCCGTCCCGAAACTCCTCCTCCATTTTCTCCTTTTTGACATCCTCTGAAACATGTAAGAATATTCAAATCCTCTGTTTAAAATTTTTGTTTTCTCAATTCTATTGTAATTATCACTGTGAAATTTCTTTGCTTTGCTGGGTTTTTTTTTTGTTCCTTTTGTGTAGTTGAAGAAATGGGTTCAGGACAAAAGGTTTTTGCTTATGAAGAAGTGGCAAAGAATAAAGAAAGGAAAGGCTGTTGGCTTTTGATTTCTGGAAAGGTTAGATTTTTCTTCATATATATGATTTGTGGTTTCCCTTTTTTGGGTCTTTGTTTTTTTTCAATTTTATTCATCTTATCTTAACTTGGAACTGTGTTCTCTATAATTACTACAATGTAAAGATAGGATTTACCCCTTTTGATTAGAACTTTTGGAAGCAAGCAAGTTGCGGGTTATCTTGTTTCCGATCTGTATGTATGCATGTCTACTTTTGGATAAAACTGAATATAGAGCTGAGGTGGAGATTTATGAATTATTAGAGTACTAAAATTTATATAGATATTTGATTCATTTGGAATTCTGTGTTGGACAAGAGAAATATAAGACATAAAACTTATCCCAAATTCAACTAATTGGAAGCTTGTTCTGAGGAGAAGGTTTATATCTGATGAAATTGAGATTATAGGTAATAGAAAGGGTCATTGCTAATCATGATTTATGTAACAAAGCTGTTTCTGTTAAGAAAATTCCAGAGGGTTTTGGAGTAGTTAGCTTAGCTAGTTTATTTGTACCTGATCTATTGCTTGACTTTTTAACCTGCTGAATATAGCCGGACTTTACATGGCATTGTGAAATGGAATTCTGGTTTTGCATGTCTTTCCAAATGGGATAATTCTATCTGAAATTGTAGAATGAAGTCAATGTCAGCAAGAATGATCGATGGCAGCCATTTCATGTTTGCCTCTCTTTTCAATTTATTTTATTAGGTGTATGATGTTACCCCATTCCTGGAGGAGCATCCTGGAGGAGATGAAGTCTTACTAGCTGCTAGCGGTAAGATTATATCAGTGCCTTGTACCAACATTGCAAGCCCATCATATTTCTTTAGCTTGGGTTCATTCGTCTCATTGGATTTTGGTACCAATACGAACAACTGAATATGCAGGAAAAGATGCAACGGATGATTTTGAGGATGTAGGTCACAGTGATGATGCAAAGCAGATGATGGAGAAATACTACATCGGTGAGATTGACGGTGCCACAGTCCCCACACCAAAGAAGTACAAAGCACAGACATCAGCAGTAACTCATAAACCCGATGAGCCTGGCTTTCTGATTAAGCTTTTACAGTTCCTGGTACCCCTCTTGATCTTGGGTTTCGCATTTGGTTTGCAATTCTTTGGCAAAAATGAAAAAGCTGAAGATTAGATTGCTTACTTTTCACATCATGGAACATTGAAAAAGAGCCAACTTAGTAAAAGCTTGGTGAAAGCTGTCTTTGTTGTAATATTCATTACTTCTCTTGCTACCATTGGTTGCTAATAATGACGGCTTAGCATATGGCATTGTTAATTTCTGGCTATTGTTTGAGATCCTTCCTGTTAAATTTTTAGTCCTCTTCCATAACTTAAGTGACTGATATCTGAATTTGATGCCTCTTGCATACCCTTATGATTATCAAATATCGAGGCATCTCTTAAACACAATCGTTGAGTCTACACGTGCAGATAGAAGCCACTAAATTAACCTCATCATTATCAAATATCTGAGGCATCTCTTAATGATTTCCCCCCCAAGAGAAGAAAAAGAAAATAGAAAGGACAAACGTTGGAAGGAAGAAAGCTTGCTTTAGCTGAAGACTGAAGGACAACACTAAGGATGGCCACTTTTCTGAAACTGGGAGAAAAGAAATGGGATATTTTTACTCTCGCTAATCCATCCATCACCAGATAAATCCATTTGTATAGGTTAATTGTCCTATCGTGAAATCATCACTCTGTGACGTTGGAAATTTGATTACTTCTACTTCCAATGTGTAGTGACCAGCTATTATTGCCCTTTGGCAAATTGGCAATGCATGCTCTTAACCGTTTTGATGCTCGAGTAGATACCGCCATCTCAGGTGATCCAGATGGCCGCACCCAACTAAACCGTGTCCTCATCAACTGCCTTAATTTCTGATTGTTTCAACAAATATCCAAATCCCGCACAGCGCAAAAAAGTGTCATGCCGAAACTTCTCGGGAAGAAACAAACTCGCCAGCATGAGAGCTGCTTCTACGTTCTTTGTTTTATATGTTGGGATTCCTTGTTTAGATACAATGCTTTCCCTATCTGATCTAGTATTTTAAACACGAAATGATACCCCCGTAGTGGAGATTAGTAACTCTTATATCCACATTCCGAATGCGACTTGCTTGAACAAACAACTTCCGTAGTATATTTACTTCTCTATCAGAGGTTCAAATTGCCACCAATATGTGATTGTGGCAGTATCTTGGTTCCTCCGCGGCATAGTTAGCCCGAGATATTGACGAGGTCTACACTATTTCATACAAGTTTCAGGTTTGGTGAGACAGCCATAGCTGGGTAAGTGTTCAGTAATACATCAAGAATAAGTAGACAACATGTTAATGTGGACATATAGTTGATAAAAGAACAAAAATCTATGGTGTGCAAAACCACAAAAGGAAATGCTTATAAATGTTTCTTGATTGCAATAATCAATGCAGATAATGGATTATTCGGCTGAAAGTTCCTAATCTGTCACCGTTTTTAGCTTAATAGGACAGCTTGGAAATGAGATTGGCGAAGCCTTCTAAAACTTAAAATCTTCATTATTGGCCCAATGGATCTCCTCGGATTCTTGTATCAATAATAAGTTGCCCATGCTACTCGAGCAACACAAGTTGAAGAAAGAAAACATTTAACAAACACCAGGAAGATATTTGGTTGGAACTTGGAAAGCAAAAGATATTTGCAAATAAAAAAACGACATAACAAGAAGAGGACTATGGGTTCCAGGAAAGATATTGGCAACTACATAAATGTTCCTGGAGAACAAAAGATAGGCCGAGGAGAAATGGATGCTAAATCGTTGCTCTCTCTCTCTCTCTTCCTTCAACTATAGAAAAGAATTTCTCATCCCAAAACAACTGATACACATCTGCTATGGTCAAATTAGAATTTGAAAAGAGAAGTTCATCGGATGGTGAAATTTGAAATGATTAATGTTTCATATACGAGTTCATGTATCCGTTTAATTTAGTTATAACATATCAAATACAAACTAATCTAACCTCTGAAATTCTAGTGTCCAAATGAAGCAAAAGGTTGAAATCGGTCTCTGTTTCTTTATGTGGATAACTACATTGATTTCACAGGCAAAAGATTGATAAATTATGAAAACAGTAAACACCAATTATTTCTCCCCTTCCACAATTATTTATGACTGGTAGAAAACAAACAAAATGACTTGGGCAAGTCACATGGGCAATAAAGAATGCTAACTGCAATAGTCTGTACATGTCAACTAATAGGGTCAAACTCCAAAGGATTGGAGAAATGGAAATGCTAATAAAAACAGTGGTTTGGGACCAAAGTTAAATAAATTGTGGTATCTTGCGAGCATTAACTGCTGTGTTCTATTGGCGTTTTTAGTTAATTGCAGAAGAAAGAATTCAAACCATGTTAACTCTGTCAGGTTTGATTAGTCCAAGAGTAGAATCCTTTTTTCACTTGCCTTGTTCATAGTTTTATATGGTAATATCTCTCCCATCCCATCCTTGGTAACTAAGCTTATTTGCAGTGAACTTCAAAACCGACGCTGGATGAAAATAAGGATTGTTAGTTGCATTATTTGAGCATTTAGTCTGCGAGATTTCTGGGATATGTTGCACTCGAGGATTGGGAGATGGATTAGATGTTGTGAAGAAGCAATTTCACCAACTAGACAGATGGGAAAGTTCATGATGATACATGCCTAAGTAAAATTCAAAGAGGAAGCCGGTTAACTAGTACAATTAACATCCTTATCTACAAAAATCATGATTAGTCTGATTGATTAGGTGAATGACGTGATGGCCTCATCTTTTTCTTTTCTATGGAAGCTTTATCGCAAATAAACTTCAGGGGAAACACATTAATTTATATTTAAAAAAAAACCCATAAAATACATGATCTCACCATGTCCAGAACTTGTGTTGTTAGGTTTTTCCGAGCAATCAACATCATTTTTAAACACATAATTTGATAATAAATGGTGAATAATTCATTAGTTCCTTTGTTGTCAGCCCGACATAATTCCTCAATCCCTCTCTGTCTCCTTTATACAACTTTATATAATTTTGTCCAGGACGGATTGGTGTAACAGGTGACATAACCTATGATTAATAAGAAATTAAGCTCCTGCTGAAACAGATCACAAAAAACCAAAAGCAGTTGACAAAGCAAGCTGAAAAGAAAAAGAAATTAAATTGCAGTAACACCTCAACTCAGTTTCAACACTCTTTAAGTGGTCCTACGAACTTAAAATAAAGAATCCAATTATCAGATCAATCCTTTTAACTTATCAGCGAAGAAATTAACAAGTTCAAATGATTAAATATATAAAAAACTTGTTATCATGATTAGCAAGTGGGGAATTCAAATTTAATTAAATGAGATTGAAAAGTGGACATGGAACAAGACCAGGAATTTCCAATCTCCTCTTGAAGCTGAATTGTTCCTTATCCGATACAGAGGAAGTCATCTTGTGGTTGTTTCTAGTTCTTGGTTTCATTTCTCAGTCACAATCTGTGTCTCTAAAGATACAGGGCAAGGGCTTGGAGAGAGGGCCTTGCGGCTATGGTTGACGCTACTTTGGCATTGTTAATTAGCTTATTGAAACCGGTAGGTAGTCTTTATCAAGTTCACCCAGAGAAGGGTTTGAGTTATTGATCAGATCGCTGTCAATGGCTCCATATGTTCTTCTCAACCGTCTTAATTGCACGAGAGCCAAATGGGCGACAACAACTTATCAGTGTTATGCACATAAGATTTTGTTGTTGAACTTGCTTTTATTGTCGGCGTTTTCCTCAGGCTTTGAGTATCCAATCTGACCCCTAATAGAAAAGAAATTCATGAGCCCCAGGCGACTGAAAGGACCAACGTTAGATACTTCTCATAATTCAAAGTTGATGCCCCCACTTCTCTGGCTCCTACAGTCATGCCCTGTAAAATTTGGTATGTCAGGAATAAATTTGTTTATTCTGAATTTTTAATTAATACTTTCTTATCATCACTCTTGGACCATTACAAAAAGGCCAGACACTTGTGATCAGACTCATATTCATTTCTCTCCTCTCATAGAAATGATTCCAATAAGCATTTGCTCGGTTGAGGAAGATGATTCTTTTCTAGCTTGCAAGCAGTCAGGGAAAAATGACTAGGATGATGTGATTCAGGCAGAGCTATCTGCTATATTTAAATTTTGCAATAAATGTACTATAGTCTATGTTTTACGGTAAAGTTTTTGGCAAAATTATATTCACAACAAACCAAATGATGAAAAGGAAACCAATTCCATTATTATTATTATTATTAATTTGCATTAATTAATCAAAACTTGACTCATACCAAGCGTATACCCTGTCAATTGGTGATGTAATAGCCATATTGTTATCAACAAATTTTTAATCACATTGTTCGACACGACAATTTGTCATTTGAACACTTGTGCTCTCTCCAGGTAATATTGTCAGTGTCTATTGAACTGATCTCTTTGTATCTCAGTAAATTTAAAACGGTTGATTTCGACATCCGCCGCTAATATAACAGATCTTTGTCATCAACAATCCATAAAAACAATCCTACCTACTACTATGTTAAATAATGTAATGGGATAAGTTATTTTGACTAACATAAAGCCAATTCTATGTTAATTATTCACTGAATTAAAGTTAACAAGTGAAGTCCAAATGTGGAAAATTTTAGAATTCTGAGGGTACCACTATGTTTAATTTGATCGCATTTTTTTTTGAAAAAAAATTTGGGATATGGTTTGGAAAAGGGAGGTAAATAGTTAATAGGCGCGCTATCCAGGACTTGATGTAATTTTCTTTATAATTCCAAGTAAATGAAGAATTTTAAGCCAGCTTCACTGTCCTGTCCTATCAAGTAGTTAAAAGGGGAATGATTTTGTTGTGGTCCAAAGGATTTTGGGCATGTATTGAGAAAGCCCCTTTTAGGGTCAGGTCCACCCATTGGATTGGATCCAGATAAAAGAGTGAATATTTAAAAGAAATTAGAACCAAAAAATAAACTCTGAACACTTCACATTAAGCCCTGTTATTATTTTATAGCATATGACATGCATATGATCTCAATCAGGTTATAATTAATTTCCAAAACCATTTATTTTATTAAGGTTAAAAAAAAGGATGTTAAAAATTTGATGAAAAAGAAAAAGAGAAAAAAGAAAAGGTGAGGGACAAACTACAAACATTGACATCTCCCCCACTGTCATCTGATGATGGGGATTAAAAATGTCGATTTCGATGTTCATCTTCTTTCCTAAAAAGTTGGAACATGATATTTAATGTTTTGGATTCTTACCAGAGACCAGCCACCATGGCTGGGCCCTTTTCCGAGTTCACAAACGTGCTGGTTCTAACAAGCTGAATTACACTGTTGATGCTCACCCTCAAGTTGGTCTCCTTGGGAAAATTTAATCCCCGCGAAAACATACACAGCCAGAGTGATTACAGCTAGCTTTGCTTCTTTACATGCTGTCTGAGGTAAGGTAAACTCTTGGCCTCGTTTGTCGACTTTAAACCTTGCTATTTTTAGTATTCTGAGACTGAGGATTATCTTTAATTGCTTTTCACCCACCCACCTTACAGAGCCATCTGACACGCAAAGACTAGTGAAATTTCTGCGGAAAGCCGCTCTCTTTTCCTTTCTTCCAAAGTTTGCGTTACAAAGCAAAAGCTGCACTAAGTATTCAGATATGTTCCAACTTTGATTTCTCTTTCGGTTTTATTTTCTTTATCTTAATTTTCATGAAAATAAATAGATAAAACATTTAAAAGATAAGTAAAGTACTAAAAAACAAAAGAGAAAAAAAAGTTAGACGAAGACAAGTGACAGAAAAAAAAATTATGAAAAGCGAAAAAGAGAAAGTAAAAGAGGCCACATAACAAAAATGGCATATTTCAATACCATGCGCCACGATTTTGATCACGATGCATTTAGTGTTGGAATTGTTGAGATTTTCAATCAATAATAAGGACATTTGTAATTGTGATAAACGGTGGTACCTTTTTCTGATTTTACTTTATTTTTTTCTCAGAAAAAAAAATAATATATGGATAATACAGGGGAAGATGGAGCCACAGAGTCCCCGATCGCTTTGATCAAGTTGCTGCAACTTTCGACTTCAAGGGTCGAATTTTGATAACCAGTTGAGGTTTTGCAAATAAAAACAAGTTTCCAGAAAGAATATTGTGTTGACTCCTTAAAACTATTCTCCATGACATTGACCACAAATTCTTATAATCTTTGGTGATGGCCGCTTGACCTTTTGTTCTTTCCAGTAACAGCTTTCACTTTAATATCGATAGATTTATGTTGAGATTCTCCCGAAATACACTCCAATACATATGAACCATAGCAGCAAAGATATTATAATTTATGTCAATTTCATGATATCAAGTGTTGAAACGTTCAAATATGATAATTATACATGTCAATATAAAATACATGAATATTTTATTTAATTACTTTAGTCATATGTTTATTCGGTGTTATTTATTTAAGTTCATGTTAATCATGGTAAGTAGTTAGAGTTAAGTTTTAAATTATGATTTAGGAGCCATAGACATTTAGTTGAAGTAGGGGATTAAGTAAAAAAATTGATTTCAGAATGAAGTTTGCAGTGACAGAGAACTCTTAATAAAAAAAATAGAGTTTGAATTCACTCCAAGAAGTTTGTTTCTTTTTTTTTTTTCAATTTTCTCTTTTTTTATTTGATGATACGTATCATATAAATTATTATAACACATGGTTTTGACACTGTGATCGTATGCTTGCAAAACTATGCATCAATTTACAATCTTTATTATATACTATAGCATTCCCATGACATACATTCTAATAATTAGTTCTAGTGTGCTTGTTCATTGCTCCATGCATCTCTGACCATGTCCATATGAAAGATTGGAGAGTGGGAAATTATAATCAGTCTAAACCTTTTTGTGTAGCATGGAAAATGAAGGAGCCATCCAACAAAGTAAGAACAGATAATTAAGTATGCAGTTAAAAGGGGGAGGATAGAAGAGAGACCGTAATAATACTTGGGAAAGTTGTATTACTTCCAGTCACTCACCCATATTTACAGCGGTTAAAAACAAATAAAAATTAAAAACCCGACACTCAATAGACACGACCAAGACAACATTATCAAGGGTTTAGATTTTGTGGACTCCCCTGCATAAAACTACTACTGCTAGTATTTTTGTCTTTCCATTCCATTTTTTGCTTTTTGGGTCTCGTTTTCCATGTGATAATGCTAGTAATAACCTTACTGAGATAGGCTTATCCTACGCCTGGGGTGAACTCTAACACTCAAAGGATTAGCCATCTCGCAAGATAGCCTCAGAACCTCGGACAAGTCAACAGTGGTCTGATCGGATGGAAGCCATTCAAACTCGTGCAAAAGGGATGCCACCCAAAAGCCGACGGTGGTCAACCCCAAGTTCTTACCGGGGCATGTGCGCCTGCCCGAACCGAATGGAGCCAGCCTAAGGTCCGATCCAAGCACAGAAAACTCCACCTCACCACCTTTAGTCACAAATCTATCGGGCATAAATTCAAGTGGGTCCGCCCACTCTTTGGGGTCCCTTGTGATGGCCCACATATTCACCATTGCCGTGGTCCCCTCTGGCACGTGATACCCATCTATAGTTGTATCAGTGATAGCTAGGCGGGCCCAGGAGAGCAGTGGGCCCGGTGGATGAAGCCTCAGAACCTCCTTGATCACAGCCTGGAGATAGATCAAGTTCATCACATCAGACTCGTCTACGGCTCTTGATCTGCCAACAACGTTGTCAAGCTCAGCATGGACCCTTGACTGAACATCAGGATGAAGCACAATCCTAGCTAGTATCCACTCGATGAGGACCGCCACCGTATCAGTTCCCCTGAATATCATTTCCTGCACAAAACCAAATTAACAGTAAACAAATGACAGTATTTAGTACCCCCAAACTCAGTACCAGAAATAGTATTATTTGATTTGTCACTTAGTAGACTTCATTTCTCTAACACCTTTCTTAAACAAGACACATTTTGGGACAAAAAAAAGAATATTAAACATATGAGCAACAGTTATTATAACAGCAGGCAGTACAATTGGACAGCTTACCCAAAGAACGGCGATCATATCAGAGTCTGATAATTTATCGGCACCTTGGAGAGAGAGCAAAACGTCAACGAAATCTCGAGTTTTCCCGTTTGGTTGAGCCCTGTGTTCGGATATAATTCTGCTGACAAAGCGGTTCACTTTAGGTACCAGTTTTGAGCATCTAACTCGGATCTTTTGGGGGTCAAAATCTGCTAGCCAAGGAAGATGGTCCGACCAATTTAATGTGCCCAATAAATCGTATCCTTCATCCACTAGAGCCCGAAGTTCTTCGACTTCATTACTGGAAGAATCTAACGTATATTTTCGTCCGAATATCGAACACATCATGTTGTTTAGAGAAGCTTGTTTGAGCAATTGACGTACGCGGAAGCTTTGGCTATGGTGACCCAATAAGGCCACCATTTCAGAGGCAATCACGCGTCGCTGATCCTCTGCACCTTTGATTTGCTTAGGACAGAAAAGGTGTGTAGCCGCGATTCTCCTCAAGGTTCGCCAGTAAACTCCATAAGGAGCGAACCCAATTGCTCTGTTGAACATCAAGCTGTAAGCCGACTCTTTCACTGGACGATCAGCAAATACAGAGCTGTTAAGAATCTCCCTCGCTACATCGGGATTGCACGTGACAATAACACGAGTATCACCCAGGCTAAAGGCCATGAGCCTCTTGGCTTTGCATGTCTCAGCGGCGGCAGCAATCCGGTGGTGAGCCAGGGAGCTGGCCATGAGGTTCATGCTGCCAGTCAGAGGCAACCCTCTAGGCCCTGGGATTTGCTTATTAGCAACAACCCAAAGAGGGGAGCACTTTTTGAACCTATATTTGCCCCAAGCTGGACCACCAGGGTGAGCCCAATAGACTAGGGTCATGGCTAGCCAGGCGAGAGCTATGATCAAAATTGACCATGCAATGTTTTCCTGAGAAAAAGCCCGGCATTTGGATGCAAGGGCAAAGACCCAGATACTCTCTATGTCACTTCTCATGGTTTGGGTAGTACTGATAATTGAAAGGGGGTACACAGCAAAAGCACAGGGCAAGATCAAGTAAAGGACGCTGGCTTTTTGATTTTGGGGCGTAAACGAATGAGCCTGGCCGCTATTTATATAGTGGGGAAGAGCTTAGGCGGAGAGAAAATTAATAACCGTTATAGTGAGAAATAGGGCCTTATAACTGAAAATTTTTATTTATATATTTATGTTAGAATTCTGCGGCACATAAGAAACAACTTTTTTTTTTGCGCCGCCACGATTGCATGACGATTTATGGGGAAGAGAGATCTCCGACATTGGAGCGCGTGGAAACACGCCCTAATGGCCTGGGATCCTGTGCTTCGTCGCTGACGTTTATTTGTCGGTGAAACGAGCGCACAAAATGAACACGCCCATGCTTAAAAATCGGGTTGACTTAGTTCTTGTCTATGCAAATTAGCCCCAGATGACGATATTGTAAACCTACTAAGCCTCCGTTTTGTGTGTGAACGGATAACATTTTCTCTGCTTGACGATGACATTTTAAGAGCACAAAAATATTTGGGAAGTATATCTATTATTAAATTATGTATCAATTATTAAAAGAACCGGGGAAAAGAATGTTCACTTGTTGACCTTATTTGATAGAGTGAAGTAACGAACAAAATGATGCAATTTCTTTTATCATTATCAAAATCTTTATTACTAGTTTTTACAATGTCACTTTCAAAATATTTCTACAATCCTTTTTTCTTTTCATTCCCAACCAAGAAATGTTCCAAGGAATATCCTTTTTATGTATATATTTCATTTTTCTTCATTTGAGGTTTTAGAAAAATAAAGGAAAAGTTTAATAATTAATTAGCATGCCTGCCAACTCTATGGACATAAAAGCCACAAAAAATTTCCTTTACTAAACTGATATATTGAAAATTAACAAGAATTCTAGGTCGAGCTACCAGCCTATCAGGCTACTAAGGTGGTGTGAGCCAGGAGCGCGAAGAGTGGCGCGTGGAGAAGACAATTTCCTCGGACAAGTTAACACGAGGTGTGGCGCTAATTATTTCAGGGTTCCAATGAATGACACGAGGGGGTCGTGCGGACGGATATTGTCGGGAGGCTTAGCAACGGATGCACATGAGACCCATGCACCCATGCCCTCTTCCCATACACTGCTTTTAGGCGTAAAAATGCGTAAATAAACGACACCCAGCATCCAGCATGGCTTAAATACGCCATATCTGAATCCCTTCGCAAAACACCAAAAACCGTAAGTGAACCATCGCCTGCCTCTGGACACGTGTACGTTTCATGCAATTTCTAATGCAGATGATGGTGACAACTCCTACTACTCGCGTGCCGAAGTTTCTGGCTCTTGTGAACACCGATCCCGCACACGTGGCCTCCGCTTGGGGTTAACGAGAATGATGGAAACGCCCTTTTTATGACACTACTGATATTGCATTACCCTTTAACGCCAGTTCCGCAATTGTGACGTCGACGTGGCAACAGTACGTGGGTATAATCGTCAACTAAAATTTAACCCGTCACACTTGGAATGATATGCTGCGGCCTCGGGATAGCGTAAACGGAAAGATAATTAGATTGGGACCCACATCTGTCGACGTGTTAGTGCTTGTTGGTAGTGGTTCAACGGCTTAGATTGTGAATTTTCGGTATGAGCAATCCCTGACCGTTGATCTTGTTGGCCTGAAAGCAACCAGGTAGTCAAAAGTTTGGAGTTTTCAGAATTATCAGTTGGCTTGAAAGGGCAAGACCAAGACCGAGACCGAAGACCAAACCTTAGTCAACATTAATGTAAGCTTCATGTGTGTGTGTGTGTTTTTTTTAAGACAATGGGTAAAGTTCTTTGAATCAAGTTGATTAGGCTTTTTTTAGTTACGAAGCCGACCATCATGTTGGTAATTAGTTGAAACGTTAAGGCTACAAAAGGAAAAACAAAAGTTTGTTTTAGAAAATTTTATAATTTTTAATGTCTTAATTATTGTTTATCAGCATCAATTGAACACATCGGAAATTTGAATATTTTTATGTAATTAGGAATGAGTCTTTGAATTTAAAATCAAATACAAAATTGAAGGGAAGTAAGACAAAACAGGATTCAAATTTATAAAATTTAGTTGATTCAAGAATTTTGATAACTTATCCTTGATGCAAGGGCTTATCATAGACTTAAATTTCAGATTCAAATCCTGAAATTAGGTGATTGAATTTAAAAAATTAAAAAAAGAGAGGGTTTTTCGACTGTCTAATTTAAGTTTCAATAGATCTCAACATAAAAAGAAAAAGAATTTATAAAATTCATATCTTAGAATAAATGACCACAAGATAAGCTCTAGTGTTGGTATGTAGTGAATAAAGCAAGGAGGAAGATGTACCTACAATCTAACATGTTTTGTTTAATGTATTTGGGAGAACACAGTTTGGATTGATCTAAATTTTAGCAATCCCCATTAAAGAAAGGTGGAATGTGCCCATTACCTTATAAGAAAACTCACAAGGGATTCTCTTCGAATGCAATTGCTATCAAATTAAACAAAATCCATTGCAAGACGAGGACACGTCACTTGACTCAAGTTGACCCACCACTAAATGGTCATAATAATAATAATAATAATAATGAAAAGACTTGCAAATTGTGGGAGATAGCTGCAAAACAAAAAGGAAGGAAGGGGGGGCGGGGGGGGGGGGATTAAAAAAAAGACTAATCTTGCAGATTAATGTTAATAGGTGTACTAATCACCCAATGTCTTCTCAAAGTTCGTATGCTTTAGTTGAAGCACCAGATTCATGCGGGTCATCAAAAAAGAAAAAGGAAAAGATGGAACTCTTGGGAATCCTTTTTCTTTTCCTGAATAGTAATAAATAATCAAAACTCTAAAAATATCACTTCAAGGAAATTTACTCATATTTGGAGGACCCCTACCGATCGAATCATTTGATTGCTTCCATAAGAACTATAGATTGCGCAATCATCCCATTTGATTAAACTGTAATACCCACATAATTAATTATGTATTATATATGTATAGCTAGCTATCTAGGTAGCCTCTTCGACATTAAGCAAGTTGTACTTCGCAGCTTTCAAAATAAATAAAGGAACCTTAAACATGGGAATATTTTAATTTATATAAAGAAAAACATACTTTTTAAGCATGATTAAGGGCAAGTACGATTGTAAATCAGAAAAAGTAAGCTTCATATCTCCCACCAAAGCTCCTTTGAATATATTAAAGTGAAGACCCTAACCAAATCATATATACCTATTCTTCTTGTTGCCCTCGTAGGAGAGAAACACCAAACAAGCTTCAATGAAGCTTCCCCATGGTGTCGTTGATTTGTTCTTTTTATTTTAATAAGTCCCCTGCCAAAACCTCACAAAACAACACCAAGAACATACGTCTTTATTTTATGTCTGACCAACAAATCAGGCGAACTCCGAATCTTTTCCCAAGATGCCAATGTCTGGCGGGCTTTCAAAGCGACTGCTGTCATGGCGAGACTGACAAATTACCTGAAACGCGAGGAAATTTAAGTTGCAGCTCACCAACAAGTTAACCATTGCTTAACCTACAAATTAATTAATTATTTTTTGTCATATTAGTAATAATCAGAGAAGATTCTTAGAAAATAAACCCGTTGCAAGCCTGTTGACTGTGTTTGAACTTTGAATCTCTGTCCAATTACAAACCCATACCGACAAACTGTTGCTGTACAAAGAAACTTCCTATCGTGTGAGGTAAGACAACAAAATTGAGTGGCTGTGGTATTATCTATAAAAATATATAAAATTCTGTCATGAGAGCACGAGGGGAAGGAGTGGGTGAGGGTGGGAGGAATCTGCTGTTTGGAGATATTTGATTGTATCTCTGCTCTAATCTTCTTCACCCCTTTATCATGACAAGAACTAAAATGACAGGAAAGAAAGAGAAAGGAATTGAACATTGGTGCAACTGGGAATCAACTCCCTGATCATTTCTATCAATAAATGCAGGCGCTATTAGAGAATCCAAGGATGGGTATACTTAGCATTGATGTCATGTAATGTAAAGATATGTCCTCAATATATTCCTTTCCTTTCTTTTTCCTGTTTTTTTTTTTTAATGGTAGTAACCTATATAACACGACATATGTAATTAAACATTAATTACTTTGATTTCTATGCTTGTACTTTGAATGGTTCTTTTGAAATTCAAATGGAAATGCAGATTGCCAGTCTGTGTTTTGACCAAAAAGATTAGTACTATTTATCAGAAAGTACTTATTTATATGATGGGAGACCAGAAATAATTAAATTACTTGCAAAGGTATAGATTAAGTTGTAGCTTTTCTTTTCTTGAATACAAAAATCCTTATGAATTCAAATCCAAGATTAATTCTTGGGATTACTTTTATATACTTGCTATTCCTAAAAATAAAGAAACTTTTTTAGATTATGTAATTTTAACATAATATATAGGCGTTTAGCAGAGCAAATATAAAATATCAATATTGGGTTGAGGAATGGGATGCTGTCCAAATTAACACATAATTGCGAGGAAAATCAATATCAAATTGGAAGGAAGATCAGTCAAGGATCACTCAAAATCGAATTGCATATTCTAAAATTCAATTGAATACGCGATTGTGCTCCTTTTCAGCTGACAGCTAAGTTCATCCCCGAGGCTTCAAACAATAATTCTGAGCCTCCTCTTGGTGGCAGAATATGGTGCTTCTTCTTCTTCTTGGTCTGCATTTCTGCACATCATGGGTACTTTAATTTCTTGGAATTTAAGGTTGCTTTGCCTAACTGTGACCTGAGCATTTGCAGGTTCGTTCAACCTTATTCGTTTAGACGCATTTAAGAACATAAACTAATGGTAATTGGGTAATGGACGCAGTGTCACATCCATCACCCTTTGTCGTTATTTTCTGTAGCTGCTTAAATTCTTTGGAGTACAGAACGGGGGAAGGTTTATTACAAGAAAAGTGTTTCAACTTTCCATGGGTTTTTTCCTCCATTTGCTCTTTTGTGCTTTCGTCTTTGGCGTGGAAAAACCTGCTCAAGGTGAAAAGCTTTTCCTCGAATTGAGCTTTACAAACAGACACGAGATTTGTTTATTAGGATTGTCTGCTATATTTTTATTTCT